TCACCCATTTACACAGAAAATTGCACAGGTGTACTAGGGGGCCTAATCTATTAATGTATTGAATTTCTTTGCAATAAAATACTACGAAAAAAACCTCCATATTTACGTTGTCTTTCAATATTTTGCTCGGCAACAACATCGCCTCTTCCTGAGTGGTGCAAGAGATGTGGATGTGAGCGCTGCGAAGTCACGCTGGCCTTGTATACAAGGTGTCTGCTAACTATAAGTGTTGAATCATGAGATTACAACCTTATAATACATTAGTCAAAGCTTTCTAGCAAATTGTTGGCATGTATGGTTCTCAGAAGCAAAAACTACTGGACTCACCAGGAGCTCTGCTAGGGTCCGCATTGCTGGAAATCGCATCCCCCCCCCCCCCCTTATCGAAAATTACATATCTGAATTCAACATTAACTGAGCAAAGACCATGAATTTAAACTAGTTCCAGATGACAAGCAACCTATTACTAAGGTTTATGTCTTAGCCAAAAAAAAAAAAAAAAAAAAACAATTAAATGATTAAATGAGTGTTTAACAAAAATACATTTTCATATTGGAAAGCTAATAAAAATATACCGTAATCTTTTTGACTTTGGACCAAGGCAACTGCAGGGCTCTTTAACAACCTGGTCCTTTGGCTTTCTATAATTTTGTGTAATTTGCTTGAAATTTAGGGGTCGTTCAACATTTGCACAAGTGTACACACAGTACGCTAGGGGAGGGTGTAGGAAAAATTTGTACACTTTTACATATGCATAAAAATGTTGATTCCAAAATAACATGCAATATGTAAAATAATGGTAAAATTATTATGTAACCATGGATAATAATATTCATTTTTAAGCAACCAAGTAAATTGCTTTAGTTAACTCCACAAAAAAATGTAGAATAGTATTGTAAAATCAACATTTTTTTGTACACTTTCAGAGGGGAGGGAAGGAGTACCGGGAAAGAGTACTGTTTGTAATGTACTCTTGTGAAAATGTGATAATTGTGAACAACACATTAGCCATGTTCCGTATGCAAAATGGTTCTGTATTTAACAAATGTGAAGCAACGTGAGCAATAAGCTCTGATGTCCCATTATGAAAATGTTAGCCGGAATTTTAGCAAAAACTCAGGAGATATGAAATTTAAAAAAATTGTATCTAGTACAGTATGTTGCGTCATTGAATGAGTGTGAATGGAGAAATTGGAATAAATTGCTTACTGATTTCTTAATCAATCAGCATGAAGGTTAAGACAAGAAAACTATACATAAGCTAGAGTAAACACTATCTTTCACTGATGTATGGTTCTTCAGTAATGACAAAGTAGAAATACATCACTGCAAAATAAGCAAATTTTCACTGAATTTTGCATTTTTGCTAACCAAATAATACATTGACTACCATTTTGAAAGACATGATTACTCAGTGTAGAATATAGTTCATAAATATTTATAGATTCTTTTTAAAGCCACAAATGTCTAGTCCCAGATTCTGAAATAAATTCAACTAGGTGGTTGTGAGCATAGATATATTATAACTTTACTATAATACCCCCATGTTGTGATTAAAAAAAAAGCTTGTTTTTGACTCGCTACGGCATCAAGTGAAACTTTTGACGGTAAACTTTTCATTTTCTTCTATGGTAGGTGTGTAAATCACAGTCAGTATTAATAAATCCCTGGATCCTCTTGAACTACTTGGACCTGAAATCTTTAAATGTCAGACTTGTTCGTTCTTTCATAAGATGATCAGACGTAAATGTTAATGTAAACCGCATTAATCACTGTATATATTCATTATTTACAGCAAAGTTTCAGATTCCATTTAATACTGTTAGCCGAGGCTAACTTTTGTGATCTTGTTTAGAGTGCCACTGCAGTACACTCTCCCTATCCAGCCCACAGTTAAGTGTAGGAGGTTTGAGTTAATAAATGGCTGAAATTTCTATAAACACTTTTTACGACAATGATAATATCTTAACTTCACAGGGCGAACAGCCTGGGGACAAAGAAAATTACATTTAAATTTGTCCGAGATTGCCATTCGTCGCCATCTAGCAGTACCCCAGATAAAAAATTTAGTAACTCAGCCCCAACAATGAGGAATCAGATGATCAGAGGTAGCCTGGACCCCCTCTATTTCACCTTTCTTGGTCTCTGCCACTAAAAGTAGATAATTACAAAATAAACACCTACTATGAATATTGGTTTATTGACATACTGTCTACAGAGTACATCCTTAATGAATAACTGTCAACAAGAACTGTTTATATATACTACAATACATTAGTATATTAGGACTAATTATAGTTTATTGCTATAAATCTAGTACTCCATACTACTGTATTAGGTCAGGCTTGTTATACACTATTATTTTAAAGATCGTCAAAGGAGGGCGGAAACAAAATTCAAACTTTTTCTTCTTATTTAGTAAAATGAGTTTGCCAAAAGCATCTAGGTGGAGAAGAAAATAAAAATATAATTTTATTAATGAATGTAAACAGTGTAGTAATGAGATAGCTAAATGCTTCAAATATATATGATATTGGAAGAAATAGATTGAGGCCACTTTGGGACCTAAAAACTAGACGTGGTCTCAGGGTATAGTCTCTACATAGAGGGTTAGGTTTAGTGTTATTATAGATTGAAGTGGTCTCGAATTAGAGGGGTCTCGAATTAGTGGGTGCACTGTATCATGTATTTTGGAGCAGCAGGGGTAAAAATTAATACATTTTTTAATTTTTTCCTGAAATTTCCATTATCGGCAGGAGGAGGGTTTGCTAAAAACAGGCATAAAAAAGTCAGATAAAGGAGTCTATTTAGCACCATAATACAGGTAGTTAAATATAAATCTATCAATAACCACTTTAATTATACATTATTGGTATCAAACTTCCATAAGCCCCAATAAAAAAACAGTTAGTTTATCACCTTCGCCCACATGTCTTCTACTGTATTGGGGAAAAAAATTGGATGTTTTCTTCTTTTTTTTTTTTTTAGTAAATAGATATTGTATTGTATTATCTCAATCATGTATTTCACTTTTACTTTACAATGCACCAGCAAACTACCCAAGGGTGATTTGTCTTTAGAAAAAAAACATAAATAAAATATTAAAATTCAAAACCTCCCTCCCTCCCTCATTGCTTTTCTAGCCTAGATAGGGTGATAAGCTAATAATTATTTTATTGCGCCTAATAATTTGCTTATTGAAGATTAGAAATCTATTAACAGCCTTAGTGCCTATTAATTTAGCACTATTTCTACTGGGGAACTATTAAGAAATTAGTGTAAAGTTTAGAGGGCACAGGTGGAAAATAATGACCCGAAGGAGCCATTAGTTTATATTAAAAATAATTGCAGGGCCTAAAAGCAAAATTGTAATGCTCTAATATCTCCTTAGGGCACTATTTTACCCATTAGTGCCTAAAGAAACTTTTACACTAATTACTTTACAGTATCAATCAATAACCTTTTACAGAGTACAATAAACATCTACAAATGCACACACCACCTATGATTGCTACAATCCACAATATTATTGTTCATTATCCTTTAGCAATGAATTTCATATATTTTTGCAATTCAAAAGTTAAGTCTGTTATTCTAATTTTAAAATCACATTATCATACGACTAAAGAGATGAGTGGTCTTATATTAAGTCAATTATTAGTAGTTTTGAGGGCAAATGTTTGAAAATAAAGACTGAAGAAAGAGCATTTACTGCCTGGAAAAACCGCCTGAAGGTTTGCAGAAATGAAATAATGACTCCTATATGATTACAATATTTTCACTGATATTACAAATTGTCAAAATATTTTCACATTGAAATTTATTGTTTAGGTTTTAACTCAAAAAAACAGTATAAATGTACAATTTGTAAAGCATAAATTGTGATGTTGGTGGAATAAAGTATTAAAAAAATACCACAGTCTAATATATGCCACAAAATGTGCAGGTTGACAAAATAAGCCTACAATACAATGCACTGTACACTGAAAATAGATTTGAAACTAACAAAAATTGATGATTTGTCATTTATAATAAAAATGTTATGATATGTTGTGATACAAGCTGTCTGTTTACAGTACTATACTAGTATTATACATACTAATTACAACATCTACTGTAGGCCTTCTTAGCTCTCAATCAGAGAGGATATCAATCAATTTATTGAACAATGCTTTTGTATCAGGTATAGCCTACTGTCGCCATAGTAACCAGCCTTCACAAAGATCAACGGTATATATTTCTATTTTTAAAATTGACTGGCCGAACAACGCTACATATTTCATTCTGTTGATGCTGGCGAGCTACATGGTAGTAATCAACTACTTGCTGGATCCAGAGGGTGACGTTAGGGGCCTGCTCTCCTTATGAACAACCATAAACAACCTACCAGTACAATGAACACTGAAAACATCATTATTAAAATGTGGGGAAGAATAGGTGTTCCATGTGATATAAGATGTCTAAGACTACTTACAAAATACCCTTCTTTCTTTTAACAACCAGAAATCCAAGTACTTTTTGCTACCCTTGCGGATCCGTGTGCGTCTGTTTGTGTCTGTGTGTCTGTTCCTCCAGGTGCATAACTCAAAAACTACTAAACCGATTTACTTCCAATTTTCATACATTTTTCATTATATTGGGAAAAAGGCTACAATGTACATAAATGCCATTATTTTTTCAGTACATAGATATGGCGCACCAGGGTGAGGGTTTGTAATCATAGATTATCTTGTTTTCATATTTATTGCTATTGTATTTTCCCTATATGATGAGTTCAGAATAAATCAAAATCAAAAACCTGTCTCCTTAATCGTGAACTGTCATTCCTAAATGAGCAAATTGTCCTAATAAGATGAAAGATTTCTACTATAAACATTCATTGTTGATTTCAAATTGAATTTGAATGTCTTCCTAAAAGGCCTAGAAAGTTAATATATTAGCAGCTATACATGGATGCACCTTTTCACATATGGTAAGACAGGCTTTGCACTGATCATTGAAAATCACTAGGGATCTTCAAGCGTCTACAAACATCTCATATAAACATCAGTACTGCAATGCACAACACAACACTAGAAGAAACATAAATACAGTTCTTCTAAACATTTTATCAACGGTTATGATAATCACAAGAATATGGGATTTGTCTGTTTCATGTAAGTTGTATTGTAGCAAACCAAGCCATGGCTATTCTTTTAATTTTCATTACTTATAATGAAACAAAATTGCATCTAATTGCTCTTTTAGTGGAAAATAATTATATGCTTACACAATATTTTTTGCAATAAATGAATTTGCTTAGTGGAAAATATGTACAGTAAACAACAGTGATTACCAGATTTATCTTACAGAGAAAGAGAGTAATCTACTGTTTTATAAAACATCAAGATATTCTTAAAATGTTAGTGGATGTTGGGGTTTCAGTCCCTAAACAGTAAACCAAACCGGTTCAATTCCCATCGCTGCTCTCCTTGTGTTCCAGCTGGAGGGCTATAATAAAAGTTACGATAGCGCTCCGTCTTTTGGATATGATGTTTAAGCCGTTGGTCCTGTGTGCATTATGGCCTGTGTGCGCATTGATTAAAGAATGCTGTGCACTATTCGGAATAGAGTAGGGGATTGTCTCCTGGTGTACTGCTCAATCACCACCAGAAGGAA